GCAAATAAAGAAGGAACTGAATGTCCAGAGGCATTAAAGGACCACAGTTTCTCAAGTCAGAACTTCCATCATTCAGGTACACTGTACTTATGTTCAAGAAATCTAAAACCCCAGGTATCACTTGCTGTTTACCTCTCTAATTTAAGTACTCTGTTTTAATTTTAGCTTGAATTTTAGTCAAAATTCTGTTGGTCATGTAGTTAAAACATCCAAGTTGGATGGCTGACCCATCCAACCTAACCCTGAACACTTCCAGGAATGGGGCACCCACAGGTTCACTGGGCAGCCTGTTCTAATGGTTCACCACCCTCAGTGTAAAGAGTTTCTTCCTAACATCTAATCTAAGCCTGCCTTCCTTCAGTTTAGAACCCCTGCCCCTCGGGCTGTCACTATCTGCTTGTACAAAAACTCCTTCCCTACATTTTATAAACCCCTTAAGGTACTGAACTCCCTTTAGACATCAGAAGGCCACAATTAGATCTTCCCAAAGCCTTCTCTTCTTAAGGCTGAGCAACCCCAGCTCTCAGCCTGTCCTGGCAGGAGAGAAGCTCTAGTCCTTTGATGATCTTTATGTCCCTCCTCTGGACCCATTCAAACAGGTCTATGCCTTTCTTGTGCTGAGGACTCCACAGCTGGATGCAGGTAGGGTCTCATGAGGGCAGAGGGGGACAATCACCTCCCCTGACCTGCTGGCCCCACTGCTTTTGATACAGTCCAGGATTTGGTTTTCTGGGCTGCAATGACACACTGCCAGATCATGTTCAGCTTTTCATCCAACCCCCTACCCTGCGACAAAAGGGAAGCACACTGCCAGCTCATGCTACTTTCATAAACACCACAGAGCCTTCTGTACCTCAGCCAACATTCTTACACTACTCAGTGCACCTTTACTCAGGGCCATCTCCTAAGAATAGTTAACTCAGGCCATCAAGCCATGAAGTACTTGGGGCACAGCACCATCCTAGGCTGAGTCTCATCCTACACTAGACTGTGGGGCTCCCAGAAACTCACAGTGCCCCACATGCCCCTTGCCACACTGATTCTCCAGAGCTTCCCACTTATACACCTAATGTGGGACTCCCCCAGTCATATCCCTAACTCAGCCTGGGTGGGCAACACAGGTAACGAGATGTAAGGCTGAAAATGAGAAAAGACAACAACAGAAATTCTGGACAGCAGACAAAAAGAAAAGTGATGGAGGAAACTCATACAGCTACAGGCTATACAGGATGACACAGCGGGATACCTGTTTCATAACTGATGCCAACCAGGAAAAGAAACATCAGTACCTGAGCACCTCTGGCAGTACAAGGGGTGCAAATGAACCTGGTATTATTTTGTACATGTCAACATCCCAATATCAAAGCACTACTCATGTGCTGACAGTGGATGCAGATGCTCAAAAGATTTCTCCATGACAGCTACAGAGCAGCGAATATTCTAAATCCAGCTTCAACTCTTAGTTTTTTCCTAGTAACACAACAGGCTATTGCTAGTGCTACATGTAAAAAATACAGGTGCAACTAAAGAGACCTTGAGTCTTGCTCCAAACCTGGAATACCTAAGCAAATAAAATATATTGATTATGCATCTTTTAAACGAAGCAGTGATGGTATTGATTTTCCTGCGAATAAAAAGATGAGAATGAAACAGCTGCTTACACAGCAACTCCAACTGTGAGTTTGTTCTCGAGTGAGCCACAATCTGAAATTGGAGATGATTCTATAATACAAGAACAATACAACAATACAATGACAAACTTGCAGAGAAATTTGTGAAAGAAGGAGAAGCAGAAGCAGCTCTTCACCATGATGCAGCTTTCCCAATGGCTGTGGTGGCCTCAGGGTAATACACTCTGGAGTAGGAGACCTTTTATTAGTTCTGCTGCACAAAAAAAATATGCCATTTTAGCCTGTATGAAAAGAGGGGGCTTTTGTGAAAGAGTATCTGAGGATTTTGGATATGAAATTAAGGATTCTAAGGTGGAAGAACACGATTAGTTTCCTAAATGAATGTAAGGAATAATTAGTCTTTATGCTGCTGTCATTTAACTGTGGAGGCCTTATGGAATTAAAGAAGGGGCACATCCCCAGGGGCACATCCCCATGGACTGAACTATGCATGGCACTGACTTGCCTGGATGTTGAATATGGAGTCCCTGGCAGATGTGACAGCCATGCTACCTTTTAATTTTCTGGAGGTGAGTGGCACTGCTCTCGTGAGACAGTACCACATCCAGTTCTGGAAAATTACTTTATCCAAGTTTATCCAAGGCTACATCCCAAGAATTGAAGCAACTACCACTGTACAGAAGGCCACATTAATGTGTTTGAGGGATTTAATGAAGTACTACCTACAGATGAAGGAAATTCTGCTTCCAATGGCACTCTGCTGCCTTCCTTTTGGAGACTATAGATCAGTCTGTATTTCTTTTCCTCAGGATGTTAGTGTTTTCAGACTTGGCTTCCTGTTTACATGGTAAGGCAGAATATATTCTTTATATAGAAGAATAAGAAGAAAATATTCCATCAACTGGTTAATGCTTAATTCATGAAGATGTTGGGAGAAGAAGCTTGTGTTTAATTTGCTGCAAATAGTTAAAAGTTATTCTTTGCATTGCCTCTTTGAAAGTTCTTTTATCATAAATACTTGTTAAAAAAAAAATCACAAAAAACCCCCAAACCCCACCCAGAGTACTGTGTTCAGCTGTGGAGTTCCCAACACAAGAAAGAGGTGGACCTGTTGGAACAAGTCCAGAGAAGGCCACCAAGACAATCACAGGACTGGTGTACCTCTCCTATTAAGGCAGACTGAGAGAAGACTGAGACAATTGGGGTTCTTCAGCCTGCAGAAGAGAAGGCTCTGGGAAGACCTTTTAGAAGCCTTCCAGTACCTGAAGAGGGCCTGTAAAAAAGCTGGAGAGAGAGGGCAGGTAGTGACAGGACAAGGGAGACTGGCTTTAAAATAAAAGAGGCTAGGTTTAGATTAGTTATTAGAAAGAAATTCTTTACTGTGAGGACGGTGAGGCACTGCAACAAGTTGTTCAGAGAGGCTGTGGATGCCCCATCCCTGGAAATGTTCAAGGCCAGGCTGGACTGGGCTTTGAGCAGCCTGTTTCCCTGGAAGGTACCTCTGTTAAAGGCAGGGCTGGTACTAAGTCAGGACACCTAGGAAAATTTGCTTATCTTCAAGAGCAGAGGGAGCCCAGGCTCTCTGTGGGACTTGCTACAAGGTTTGATCACAGTTATTCTGAAGGTTCTTCTCCCCTGGTGCACCATTTGCTGCAACTCATGCCCACTGCCCTGCCTCTATCTTATCTTCAAGAGCAGAGGGAGCCCAGGTTCTCTGTGTGACTTGCTACAAGGTTTGATCACAGTTGTTCTGAAGGTTTTTCTCCCCTGGTGCACCATTTGCTGCTGCAACTCATGCCCACTGCCCTGCCTCTGGTTTGTTTTTCAGAACCAGTAAGCCTAGAAAATGATTCTAAAGAGTGCTGAATGTCTGTCACTGTCTTAAACTGACATCAGCACAGCACCTCGCAGTCTTGCCTCTAAAACACAGCTTCCAATTTTGTAAAACATTACTTACTTTCCAGGGGTTCTTTCTCCATACTGGACTCTTCTGGTTCATCAAACCTCCCCACTGGTAACTTTGGTTTCCTTAGTGGCTGCTTAGCAGGTTCAGATCTTCCTCCTGGCTTAGAGCTGGAGCTGCTTCGCGAGTGGCAAAGCAGTGATGACTCTATCAAGCAAATGGACATGTGTAGCATAAATGTGGGAGTTTAACACTGAGTAATGCTCTGACTGTCCAGAGCACCTCTACTGGAAAAAAACTACTTCAGGGATGAGGGAGAGGAAGGCAGGAAAACAAACTCTAAACATTATTTAACATTCAACTCATGAACACCTAAGAAATCAGCACAGATAATTATTTTTGGCTCTAGAAACAGATGTAGGCAAAATTGTGTTAGTTGTATAACTCAGTTCACATTAACAGTGTATTTTAAACCGCCTGAACTTATCTTTGCTGTTACTTTCTTGTATTTTAGACTCTTAAACAGTAATTATGCTACCATCGACCAGTACAGTCTGTTTTCCAAGAGAAATCTTAACCTCCCCCACGAAACCTGCTGATTTCCATATCCTGGCTCACTTCCAGCAGCTTTTTAGTCAGAATATGCTTCTGCTTTCCCAAAGGAAAGTTTAAAAAAATAAAACGTTCCCTTAGTAACAGGTTTTCCAGAATGTCGGCAGAAGATAGCTGGGTTTCCCTTAGGATGGTAAAATAATTCAGCTGGTAGTCAAAAGCAGGAAAAACTTTGAGCATGTTTAAGTTCAATTATGTAACTGCATACAAATGCTATCATTAAAAGCATTAACTTTTTTTCCTTTAAACTCCTACTAACATTTTGGTTAAAAAAGCCAAATGTAAATGTTCACAGTGAGCATAAACTATCCATTAAAAATATTTTGGCTGTGGACAGATACCTAAAGCAGTTCTGACATTTCTTAAGAAGCAAGATTCAATCAGAAATCCTCCCTGTATCAGCAAAGTACCTGAAAGAACTTTGATTCTGCTTTCCTCAGGAGACTGAATCGGGAAGCCTTGTCAAGTAGTCAATTTGACTCACTTTAATATACACCAACTAGCAAATCACTTGTATTCCCAGAATCAGCATATTCATTCATTTCATAAGATTCAAACAGAAATCCTCCCTGTATCAGCTGGGTGCAAAGTACCTGAAAGAACTATGATCCTGCTTTCCTAAGGAGACTGAATTGGGAAGCCTTGTCAAGTACTGTCAATTTGACTCACTTTAATATACAACAACTAGCAAATCACTTGTATTCCCAGAATCAGCATATTCATTCATTTCAAAACACCACATCTTAAATATCAAACCCTGCAGTCACATAAACTGTATTATGTCTGCAAACTGCTGCCAATGCCCCAAAGGAGTAAAGCATGGCGTAACAAACAATCAACAGTAAAGGATCCAATCTGCTGCAAATATCGGGTCTTTCTACTCCTGCCAATCTTCTTGTCATTCTTCAGTAAGCTAGAATCGGAAAGCTAGCAAGAAAATTCAATTATAGCAGGTATTCCAGTCCAAATTAAAATAAAAATCAGATTAAGGTGCCAGTATAAAATTTATTATCTCAGTCACTAGAGAAAAGGCAAACCCCATTTTCCTTGATATATTTACTTGATATTCTTGACCAAAATACAGTCTTCTTGACAGAGAGGTGACAGAAGTTCAACATTAAGCATCTCTGAAAAAGATGAGATGAACTATCAACATCAGTAAACCACATTGTACAAACTGATCTTTGATTCCCTCCTCTTTTACACAGTGTCACAATGCCCTACCATTTATTAATTATATGACTGAACTTGGAGTTGAAAATCCCAATTCTTTAAAGTTGCTGCACTGCAATATTCCATCTTTTGAAGTGGCCCACAGCATGTGATTTATCCTAACAAAGCCATCCATGCAGTGGGATTTGGGCACACATTGGGATACTCAGAGGATTACAGCATTAGCCACACCTCGCCATGAATCTGACACCCAAACAGAGCACAAACATCTAACAAAAATTTTTAACAGCTCTTCCATTAACATACAGGTTTGTTTAAGTGCATCGTATCAACAGCAGCACAGAACCTCAGCTTTTGAGGAGAGGGAAGCACCTAACAAACAGCCCAAGCTGAGGCCTGTGGGACAGGCTGTTATCCAATCTATCTTACTTCTCTATAAACAAACCAGCTGAATTTCCTCAGGTGAAGGGAACGGCCCAGTGACTTCCAGGTCCACAGCACGCTTCCTCCAGCTATTCTCCAAACGTTACATCACTCTTTAACATTTTGCTGTCCTTAAGAAGTACGAAGCAATGACAGGGCAAGAAAACCTCCGCAATAACAGAGCTGCCCGACAGCAGTAGGTTTACAGTACAGGCGAGACTATCAATATCGAAAGGGCGAGAGGGAAGGGGTTAAGAGCAGGGAAACCGCAGGGCCACGGAAGGTGCGGGGAGAGCTGCGAAAGCCCCCGGCCCCGCGGGCTGAGGAGGCGGGCGCGCCACACTCCTCGCCTGCCGCCATCTTGGGCGCTCTCCAGCCCCGCCAGCGCCAGCAGCCCCGGGCGGCGCCCGCCCCGTCCCCTCGCTCGTCAGTTCCTGCGGGAGGAAGGGCAGGGGAGCCGGGGAGCCCCCCGCGGCACAGCCCGGGCCCTCCCGCCCTTCGCCCGCCTCTTACTCGCTGCCCCGGGCGCGCCGCGCAGCAGCCGCAGAGCCATGGCCGGGACGGAGCCGTGCGGGGCGGGCAGCGCCGCCGCGCAGGCGCCCAAGGCGGTGGCGGCTCCAGCCGGGGGCAGGCGGCGAACGCGGCCCCGAGCGGGGCGGCTTCAGCGGCCTCACGGTCCCCCGAGCGGGGCGGCTTCAGCGGCCTCACACCGCCCCGAGCGGGGCGGCTTCAGCGGCCTCACGATCCCCCGAGCGGGGCGGCTTCAGCGGCCTCAACATCCCCCCGTGGCCCTGCGCTGCTCCCCGGCTCCGGCAGAGGCGAACGGCCCCTGGGGAGCCACGGTCCCGATGAAGGCAGCTACAGGATCACAGAGATGCTCAAGAAATACGCTGTAACTCTTCTATACACTCCCAGGCCAACGTGGAGCTTCTTCAATGTGAAGCGTTTAGCGCTGCAGGAGCCCGTTTTCCCCTCAATGTCTAGTGTAGTCCAGCTAGGGGTTTTTTTTTGTTGTTGGTTTGTTGTTTTTGTTGTTTGGTTTTCCTTTAATAATAAAAAAATAGTACATTGTTCAAATGATACACAAAGACTGCTAAGGACACGAAGGAACTTCGGCTAACACCATAGTGATGTACAGACAGCGTTTGTGCTTTCAGACAGCATCTTTCCAGTTTCTGACTTTAAGCACTGAAGTTTCTTTTAGTGCTCAGTATAAACCTAACTCTGTTACTTATAACATGTTCATGGAGTGGCGTTCCAGTTAATTACAGTTAATGTTTTGAGTATGGCAACTTTTGCTTTTTGTCGCGCTTTAAACTTCTCCAGCTAACCTTGTTCTTAGATAAAACAGAATTCAGTGTACACAGATACTAACCTGAAGAAGATAACTTGGAGATCTGAATCTAAATAGCATTTTTGGTTCATCTAAATAGCATTTTTGGTTCACATCTGAAAGCTTTAAGAAAGTAAATCTTGGTAAATTAAAGAGCAGCAGCACTTCCTGGAATTTATTGGAGCTGCATCTGGCAATCCCTACATACTGAAAGTAATTAAATTTAACTGACTGGCTTACGAGTGACATTTTCTCAATCAGCCCTTTATAACATGGTTAATTAGACATTAGAGACTGAAAATAATGGAAACCTTTTCCTTTATCCTCTTGTTATCCTAACAACAAGACGCTGGGCATTAGATCAGAGAGAAAAAAGATGAATGCAGGAAAAAATACTCTGTCTGAAAGCAGCAAGGAGAAAACCTAAAGAGATCTTGTCAAAGTTCAAAAACTTATTATTCATATCTTCAGTACAATAAAAACATGAAATCCTTCCCTTAAAAAAAACTTACCAAGCTGCCAGCAGACACCAAGTAATAGTAAGCTCTGCTCCTAAATCAATTAACACAATCCATGAAAAATTATACATTTATGCATACATTGTATATACAAGCACACATGTCAAATTTCAAATGGTAAGAATGAAATAGCAGTGCAAGACTACTGAGGTACTGCTTATCCACCTAAAAATTAACTGTCTTCAAAACATATTTCTTGTCTTTATTGTATTGCTGTAAAAATTCACTTGTAACTCCTGAATTATTCATTTCTAGATCTTTTGGCTAAGGAGGTAATAAATCTTAACACTGGTAAAAACAACTGTAGCATACACCACAGGAATTTTCAACTTTGTGATTAAATGGACTGTTTTCTTGTTTTCCTTCCTCTGTTTACCGATCATTTATCTCTTGCACTGCAGCTTCCTTTGCAAGATGACACAAACAATATTGTACTTAGCTTTGCTGTTCTAAAACATGGCAAAAACTAGGGAATAAAAGCACAAAGCTTGCAGCAGGTCAGTTCAGAGGAGCCAGATGTACCGGTCTTGGAGACTGCCTGCAAAGCACCACAAGCAGCACAGCCCTGGGCAGCGAGTGCACTGACACTGCCTGAATGCCCCCTCTGCCTCCGAGACCACATCGAGAACCTCGGTTATCTGAACACCACACCTGGTCAGGGCTAAGCAAATACAGCTGGCTTGGAAACAAGGTTGTTTTGTGGTTACAGAGTAAGTTTTCCATCAACGTCAAATCTCTTGGCTCTGCTGCAAATCCTGGTGATTTCCAGCGTAACATGAACTCGTTTTCCAAAGTAGTAGCAATGCCTAGATTTACAGTAACAGAAAGTTTAGTTTGTATCAAGAATTCAAGCACAACCCAAGGAATTAATTTATATACACAACATGGAAACAGAGGTTCAGACACTGTCATTTGGTGCAGTGATCTCCTAATTATATCACTGAGAGCTTTTTGAAGTAACAGTACCAGCTTACTGCCTTCAGGGAACAAGAGACTGACAGATAAAGGAACGTTAAGATCTCAGTTCGTACCTCTCATTCTGTAAGCAGCATAATTCTCTTTGAAGCAGCTGCAGGCTACCTGCATGAAGGAGAGGTCACTATAAAGGAAGATGAAGCCCTCATTCAAACAGAAGAGTGGTGAGATGGTGAGTAGCAGCACTTTAGAGCTTCTACTCCGTCAGATGACACTGACTAATGTGTACACAGGTCTAGCAAAGAGAAGGTACAAAGCTGCAGGAATAGGGGGAACATGCCAGGCAACACACGCACAGTTGTCCAAAATATCCCATCCTACATGTGTTGCTCAGAGAGCAACTGCAAGTGACTACCAGACCACATATGGACTAAGCAATAAAAATTAAGGTAAAAGAGAATGAATTTACAGTTTTCTTAATTTGCCCTGGTCCTTAAGATACTTACATACAGATATCACATGATGTCTTGCACTATCCATTTTCCTCAAAGAACAAACCTAATTCAAGCTACTTTAAATAGATAGGACCTATTGTTATACTGTTACCACCTCCCCCCACAAAAAAAAAAAGGAAAAAAAAAGAAAAAAAAAGTGGCTATTTCTGTCATGATACTTTTGCTTTCCTGATCACAAAAGTATGCTTTACATGTTCAGATTTCCAGAGACAGAAAGCAAGACAGGCTTTTTTCAATAGTGACAGAACCATCTAAATACTTGTTTCCTAAGAACAGTTTAAAGTCTTAATTGTGAATCAAGGAATATTTTATAACTTCAGCTCCCTTCAACAGCTATTCAAAGTTGAGCCAGTAGCAAAATCCAATAATACTGTTACATAAAAGGCAGTTGATATAACAGAACATAATTTAAACATTTAGAGCTTAATAGCAACATCATAATACAAAATTAAAAATAAAAATAGGCATTGTAATAGTAAGAACATATTAAAGATACCTTTGTGTCATGAGGACTTGCCTAACACAGCTCTAACAAAACACTCTGCAGTGTATATGTTGGTGAGCTGTAGATGCTCAGATACTAATTTCAGCATCATGTAAGTTATAGGGAACCCCCCCATATATTACAAAGACTATTAAACAACATTCCATATCAAATGCAAAATCACTTCATCTATTATTATAGACATTTAATCTACAGATATAATCACTTCAACTGTTATTGCTCTATTAATTTCCAAAGTACAAAATTATTAATTATATACAAAAAGCCTCCCCAGAATTTTGGTAATTAGCAGAACATTTCAGTTTCTTTAATTGCTTTCATTAGAGTAATTTGTTCATTTTATTAACACTAGATGCAATAACACAATGCTAAAAATAAACATGCATTATACAACGAATTTATATTTTTCAAAAAATGTTCATTACAATTAGTGTACAGTTAGTGAATGCACATATAACTCTTTTCCCCCACCTTTAGCGAACTATTGTTTGAACCAGAGAAAAGGGAAGGAAGAAGAGACCAAACAATGCTATTCAGCACCAGTAGAAAGTCAGATCTTTAACATCCTGTATATCAAAAACATTTTATCTCTGTCACTAAACAGGTAAAGTTTACAATAGTCTCATTTGAAGATGTATTGATTTATATTTACAATACTTTATAGTCAATAAAACATTTTAACAATATTTAAAAATTGTTTAAATTCATAAAAGTATTGCAGAAATTTATAACATTTATTTATTTTAAGTATATACAAGGAAGTCCTCAAAAAATTGTCCATGTTCATCTGAAGAACTGACAGAGTAAGGAACCATCTTAATACAGTTTGCAAAACCCCAATTATTTGAAGGCAGCTATCACTGAACATTCAAAAATCCTTAGTTGCCATTTGCTTCTGAAAATCAAAGTTCCAGTCATAAAATTGGAGTATGTAAACTAACATGTTTTTGAGATCAGCAGAAAAAATATTCCCACAGGCATAACATATTTAACAATGACAGTAATGATTTTGTAGAAAACTGTTAAGCTGTAGCAGATATAGTAATTTTCAAATATCCAGTATTTTAGCAGCTCATTGTGTTTCCAGTTAAACTTCTACAGTGCTAAAATACGACAAGTGAACACGTAAGACATTGTTAGAATTTTAAAATCCAATTTATTTTTGGCATCTAAAGCCTCTTGTAAAATGTAGCCAAGTAACATTGACTTCTGTTGTCTGAAAGCCAATAACCAACCAAACAAAAGTACACACTGTGCTTTAATCTCCAAATAATTAGGTACCCAAAATTAAGAAAAAGTAATAGAAAAGTAAAAAGAACAAAATAAAAAAATATTGCACAGTCACATTACCTAGAAAGTAAAGTTGATGTTAAAAAGCCCTAAGTGTGGATGATATAAATTATCTTCCATATAAAAAGTATAAATATCTCTTAAAATACAGCTGCAGCTATACTTTAACACCACACATTATCTGAATTCATCTGTTAATGAGGTAATAACCAAGTTTCTGACAATGCTTTTCTCTACTGAAAATATTTTAGGGCAGCAACAAGAAAGAATTTTTCTAAAAATATTTCTGAATCAAGAACAGCAATGTGTGCAGCTCTCCCTATGAGAGAATCTGCTGTATTGGGTAATGCATTAATTACATTATAACGAACCAAATTACATTCCTTGTTTTGAAGAACTGGCAGAAGCAGGTTCTGGATCATTTCAGCATA